CCAACTAAATTTTTGAAGGAAATTATATATTGCACTAAAGGATAAAATTGATTAAACTGCAGAATTTGGGACTAAAATGTAATTAATGTATAATTAAGGATGGAAAATATTATTCTTCCTAAATTCCTTTCGCATGGATAAGAGCAGAAATATGTAATGCTTTTTATAATATTTTGAATACTCATATACCAATAAATCAGAGTGGCGCAGCGGAAGCGTGGTGGGCCCATAACCCACAGGTCCCAGGATCGAAACCTGGCTCTGATAAAATAGAGATGGCTTCCGATGTTCCCTATTTTATTTTTCTTTTTTTTGTCTTCAACGACGTCACATCGAAACAAAACGACACCGCATGTTTCATGTTATTCACAAGAAATCGGCTACAACCCCAATATTAACCAAAAATAAACACAATAATTTCCCTAAAAACGACGAATTTGAACTTGTGATTTTTGATTTTATTCTTTGATTTTTAATGTCAGGTAAATATCGGAATGCCGTTGTTTGGTTGACGAGAAAATGTAGGAACTGAAGGGAGAGTTTGGAAATATGTTATGAAATGTCAACGACGGGACAAAACCAAGAAATAATTCCTCAAATGCCAAGAACATAAGATCTCTACAATCAAACAATCCATCTAATTAAGTATGAGTTGTAATAAAATCTTAATTAACTTAATAAAATGTTTTCCAGATCAGCCTATTACACCGCAAGCTATGAAGGGATACTCAAGAGAATTAATTACATTGCTATAGCTGTTTATATCCTTGAAAGGCTTTCACAATCATGTACCAGAGTATCTCACTAAAACTGTATTATAAACAAACTACATATGCAATTTTATCGTACCATCACTCCAACATTTGACAACTCTATTCCCAGCATTTTTAGGATGAACCACTCAGAAAATGAGCTAATGCCTTATCTGTGTCATTATCGTACATGAGTAAAGCCTCTGCAACGTTGTTTGATGAGAATCCCATATCTCGCAACAGAGTATACCCATTGGCAAATTCCCTGACCTGAAGATATCAAGATAAATTCATTCTCCTTAATCGGATAAAAAAAAGTTCCTATAATGTATTGGAGAAGAAATATTTCATTCCTTTTTTTGGAANTAAATTCATTCTCCTCAATCGGATAAAAAAAGTTCCTATAATGTATTGGAGAAGAAATATTTCATTCCTTTTTTTGGAAAAAAAAATCATCGGAAAAAATGTTCGGCCAAAATGACTTGGGTTGATTTGATCGCAGAGATTAGCACCCCCGTAGAGTCATAAAACAACACCATTGCATAACAAAAGCAATAGAAAAGACAATATGTTAACAGACTATGCATGAAAAGGCCACAGGTTATATAATAAAGATAATATTGGGATGGAATCCTGTCAGCCCCCTAAAGTAAATGAACATTAAAATGAAAGATAGCATCGACTCAAGGATCTGAACTTTGCCAAAACGTGTGTAGATGGAGAGGCAGTACATACCTTGGCTGGATTGTCTCCAAAATTGGCAACTGCAAGAGGAACAGCCTCTCTGCTGAGACCAGCTGCAATGTATTTGCTCACTACAGGATCAGCCCTAGAGCCCTGCATTTGAGTAGTATAATGTCTTCTTATCAACCTCATCAATGACAAACTATTTTATAAAGAACCAATAAAACTTAACAAAAACATGCATGAGACGACATCTCTAGTTTGTAATGGTGTGTACACCAAATATTCAGATCCGATGAAGAAATTTCTTTATCAAGAGCAGTTCTGGACATTCAGCAACCTAAAAGGCTCCAATTGGTTACATTTGTCACCTGAAGGTACTCATCCATCATCAACTATGGGTTAGTGGGCTCTTAGCTGATTATATAGTGTAAAATCATCAATCAGGATATAAAAAATCTTGAGGTCAGGTCATCCTATTAAATGGGCTTGGGGACAANCCTGAAGGTACTCATCCATCATCAACTATGGGTTAGTGGGCTCTTAGCTGATTATATAGTGTAAAATCATCAATCAGGATATAAAAAATCTTGAGGTCAGGTCATCCTATTAAATGGGCTTGGGGACAAGATTGGGTGAACTTTTTTTTTTCGTAATTTCTTAATATTCTTTTGAAAAGTGAGAAAAGTGAGACATTGCCCCACTTAGCCTAAGACAAGATGGATTGCCCCACCCCACCAGCACATGCAGCAAGCTCTGAATGATCTTCATGCCATAATGGCATACCACCCCCTGAACTATCATAAAAGATGCTCCCTTCATAGTATAAGCCAACCACCCTGCACCCCTCACCCCCCCCCCCCCCCAAAAAAAAAAAAATGAAAGATTAATGCTACTAAAAGTTTATGACTTCTACAGCTTCTCCTCTGAGTGTGAATCATAACACTCTTCTTGCCCTTAATTTTATTTTTCTAACATTAGCTCCTACACTTCAAGTATTTTACACATACTCTTTCCCCTAATAGTTGATAGACACTTACTTGCATATTAACAATTGAAAAAGTAGAAACTTTCATGGAAAACTAGCTCTCTATATTATCTCATAAAGTACATAGATGCAATGCAAGCTAATAAAATACAAGGCATCATAAATGAAAAAAGATCATACCAAAGAAGATGTTGATTCTGCAGGTTTAGATGGAAGGTTTTCCAGTCCAAGCCTACCCCAATTTTGGGAGTCCTTCTGTGCCTCAGCTAGTATCTTCCTTTCCAGTTCAAAGTCAAACTGGAAGGTGCTCCTAGGAATATCTCCAATATCTGGGGACAATTGAGGCTACAAATTGGCAATTAGCAGGCCAATAACAGAATCAGACAACACATACATAGATATAAAGACATCGGATTATGCACGCCTTTGAAATCATTAAAACTAAAACACAATAACAGAATAATCAAATGGGACATGTGCTTGGAGTAAAAAGTATGTTGTAAAGTAATTTTGAGATAAAATTTACAACGTCAGTAAATTGTGCAATAACATTGCAGCAAAAGACATACAAACAAAGATAGTAATAACTCCATATTGATGCATCACAATTAAACAAAGATCACATGAAATACATTTTATAGCATATGTGGTCTGAAGAATTACTTACCTGTAGGGAAGGTTGCAGAATGATAACAACCTAGCTACTAAAAGAAGAAAAGAGAAATCCTAACCCTAAGAGCTCCAAGACCGCTTTTGTCAACCTAAGTATCGAATAGTTTATTTTTCAACCCCTTGGATATAACAAAAGTGCTCCCCTAAACCATTCTTTAGAACTATCTGAGCATTTTGAACCAGCAAATTCCAGAGTGTCTCCTAAATAAAAAGCTCCAGCTTAGATGGTGCAGTGCCAAACAAACATGACATTAATAAATGTGCTTTAACACAGAATGAAGGGCATCACTTCCCAACATATTATGTTTCAAAATTAGAGCATCCAACCTACAATTAGTAGAGTGATCTCTCAATTATATAAACAAATCTTGGGTCCATTTGAAACAACTCTCTTCACACTCTCCCTCAAGTAAACCCAAACTTGCATGTTAGCTGACAAACTGAAATGAAAAGGACAAACAAACAAACTAGAGCTGAGCCAAAAGGCACAAAAATGACGAATAAACAGAACAAGAAATTTAGGCTTAACTCACCAACTACCAAAGACCTAATTATGATACTATGTTAGAGCATCTAATTCAAAACCAATTGGCAATGGAAGAAGTGGCGGCTCAAGTATATAAACCAACTTTGGATGTACTTGATTTTTTCTTCTAAGGTCCTTTTTTTTGCTGTACAAAATTGAAGCTTATATAGCAATCCTTCTTACATATGCACAATGCACTTGCCAATAATTATCTTATTTCTATCTGAGATACCCGGTAATGTGGGTCTCCAACCCAATCAAACAATCTAACAACAGAGGAAGGTAATTGTGAAAAGAGCTATCCCACCTTCAGAGCCTATGCGTGCTAAGTCCTCGTGTCAAGACCATATCTGTCTTGGATCATTAGAGCTGACAAGCGACACAACTTCCTCTGCTATTCAATGAAGCTTCATTATCTGACTCGGGCTTTTGATTTTTATGACTTGATGACTGAAGAAAATATTTTAGGGTAATTATGAGGGGTCTGGAATATTTTGGAAGAGATTATGAATATTTCTAATATCTCAATGTTCTATATTTCCAACAATCCCAAAATTAAAAGTTCATATCCTTGCAGAATTGGGTGGATGCATTTATAAAAGGTTTCAAGGTTGACTAAGCTGATAGTTTGCTCCTCTGAAAAGATTTCTATATCTTCCTCCTCTTCTGCATTTTGATTAACAATTTCTTCACTACATCAAACATTCCTCTACTAATTTATGATTGTTGCAAGTAAGCAGTCGCAGCTAGTTGTACCTATAGTATTTAAATTCTTTGAAGCTTTTCCCAGAATACTCATTAATATATAAGAAAAGAAATAAATCATGATGAAAAAAATGCAATCACTACAATATATATAAAACAATCAATTTTTTAGAGAGAGGGCTTGAGAAGTCTTGCCTGCCACTTTTCTAATTTTTAAGAATTTTGAATTGTTAAATTCTCTATTCTCCAACCACATTCTATCAAATGCCTCCAATAACTATTCTAAATAACTAGCCATACACTCCCTCTAACCACCATTTATTTAAAAAATTTGTAATCAAATAATTCCTACAATATTTTTGCTAACTTATAAAAGAATGGGTGCGAAAGAGTAAAGGGTGAAGATGGGGATTGGAGGAGACGGGGATGACCCTAGTATGATATGTAATTCAGCTCAAATCCTCATGCCATATTAGCTTCACCAGCAGCGATGTGCATAAGATGTGCCGGCCATTGAAACCAATCCAATACCAAAAGAGCCTTTAAATACCTCCACATACAATCAAAATCAGATATTATGCGTAAAATTAGGAAGCAGAGCATTCATACCGGTGGTGTAATCCGGTATTCCGGCTTTAAGGCGACCCTAATGCCTGTTCCAGCTGAAAATTTTGAAAAAAATACAACAGAAACAAGCAAAGCTATTGTAATTGAGCCATCAGGCTACATAAAAACAGACATAAATTGATCAATATATATATATAAACACAGAAATACATGCACAGCGAGACAGGATTGAAATTACGGACTTACAAGAAGATGAAGGAGAAGAAGTCGGATGAAAAGAAGGGGGACGAGCGGCGGGAGGGTTGACGGAGTGACCACTGATCTTAGGGTAGAGAGAAGATGGTCCGTACATCGGATGGCTCGAGCTTGAGCTCGATGAGGGAGTGGTCGTTGTTCTGTACATGGGGACTTGAGGATCGTATGGTAGACCCGCTATGTTCCTGAAATCGTAGTCCATACTCGATCAATTAAAGAGGACTCCTATTCAAGAGAGGGAGTCGATACAATTGCAGAGAACTGCATAAAGAAAGATGATGAGAGGATAAATCCCATAAATACCCCTGATCAAGGCATTGTGGGCTTTTTGGAGACGATGTCGTGTACGGAGAGGAATAGATTTTGATATATGGGTAGGCCCATTACTATGCTTTTAATTTGGACTGGCCTTTGGGTTTTATGAACAGCCTCATTCTTCTCTGCATGTTAGCCATAAGGCCCCCAACAATTNCTACCAAAGACCTAATTATGATACTATGTTAGAGCATCTAATTCAAAACCAATTGGCAATGGAAGAAGTGGCGGCTCAAGTATATAAACCAACTTTGGATGTACTTGATTTTTTCTTCTAAGGTCCTTTTTTTTGCTGTACAAAATTGAAGCTTATATAGCAATCCTTCTTACATATGCACAATGCACTTGCCAATAATTATCTTATTTCTATCTGAGATACCCGGTAATGTGGGTCTCCAACCCAATCAAACAATCTAACAACAGAGGAAGGTAATTGTGAAAAGAGCTATCCCACCTTCAGAGCCTATGCGTGCTAAGTCCTCGTGTCAAGACCATATCTGTCTTGGATCATTAGAGCTGACAAGCGACACAACTTCCTCTGCTATTCAATGAAGCTTCATTATCTGACTCGGGCTTTTGATTTTTATGACTTGATGACTGAAGAAAATATTTTAGGGTAATTATGAGGGGTCTGGAATATTTTGGAAGAGATTATGAATATTTCTAATATCTCAATGTTCTATATTTCCAACAATCCCAAAATTAAAAGTTCATATCCTTGCAGAATTGGGTGGATGCATTTATAAAAGGTTTCAAGGTTGACTAAGCTGATAGTTTGCTCCTCTGAAAAGATTTCTATATCTTCCTCCTCTTCTGCATTTTGATTAACAATTTCTTCACTACATCAAACATTCCTCTACTAATTTATGATTGTTGCAAGTAAGCAGTCGCAGCTAGTTGTACCTATAGTATTTAAATTCTTTGAAGCTTTTCCCAGAATACTCATTAATATATAAGAAAAGAAATAAATCATGATGAAAAAAATGCAATCACTACAATATATATAAAACAATCAATTTTTTAGAGAGAGGGCTTGAGAAGTCTTGCCTGCCACTTTTCTAATTTTTAAGAATTTTGAATTGTTAAATTCTCTATTCTCCAACCACATTCTATCAAATGCCTCCAATAACTATTCTAAATAACTAGCCATACACTCCCTCTAACCACCATTTATTTAAAAAATTTGTAATCAAATAATTCCTACAATATTTTTGCTAACTTATAAAAGAATGGGTGCGAAAGAGTAAAGGGTGAAGATGGGGATTGGAGGAGACGGGGATGACCCTAGTATGATATGTAATTCAGCTCAAATCCTCATGCCATATTAGCTTCACCAGCAGCGATGTGCATAAGATGTGCCGGCCATTGAAACCAATCCAATACCAAAAGAGCCTTTAAATACCTCCACATACAATCAAAATCAGATATTATGCGTAAAATTAGGAAGCAGAGCATTCATACCGGTGGTGTAATCCGGTATTCCGGCTTTAAGGCGACCCTAATGCCTGTTCCAGCTGAAAATTTTGAAAAAAATACAACAGAAACAAGCAAAGCTATTGTAATTGAGCCATCAGGCTACATAAAAACAGACATAAATTGATCAATATATATATATAAACACAGAAATACATGCACAGCGAGACAGGATTGAAATTACGGACTTACAAGAAGATGAAGGAGAAGAAGTCGGATGAAAAGAAGGGGGACGAGCGGCGGGAGGGTTGACGGAGTGACCACTGATCTTAGGGTAGAGAGAAGATGGTCCGTACATCGGATGGCTCGAGCTTGAGCTCGATGAGGGAGTGGTCGTTGTTCTGTACATGGGGACTTGAGGATCGTATGGTAGACCCGCTATGTTCCTGAAATCGTAGTCCATACTCGATCAATTAAAGAGGACTCCTATTCAAGAGAGGGAGTCGATACAATTGCAGAGAACTGCATAAAGAAAGATGATGAGAGGATANCAGCAGCGATGTGCATAAGATGTGCCGGCCATTGAAACCAATCCAATACCAAAAGAGCCTTTAAATACCTCCACATACAATCAAAATCAGATATTATGCGTAAAATTAGGAAGCAGAGCATTCATACCGGTGGTGTAATCCGGTATTCCGGCTTTAAGGCGACCCTAATGCCTGTTCCAGCTGAAAATTTTGAAAAAAATACAACAGAAACAAGCAAAGCTATTGTAATTGAGCCATCAGGCTACATAAAAACAGACATAAATTGATCAATATATATATATAAACACAGAAATACATGCACAGCGAGACAGGATTGAAATTACGGACTTACAAGAAGATGAAGGAGAAGAAGTCGGATGAAAAGAAGGGGGACGAGCGGCGGGAGGGTTGACGGAGTGACCACTGATCTTAGGGTAGAGAGAAGATGGTCCGTACATCGGATGGCTCGAGCTTGAGCTCGATGAGGGAGTGGTCGTTGTTCTGTACATGGGGACTTGAGGATCGTATGGTAGACCCGCTATGTTCCTGAAATCGTAGTCCATACTCGATCAATTAAAGAGGACTCCTATTCAAGAGAGGGAGTCGATACAATTGCAGAGAACTGCATAAAGAAAGATGATGAGAGGATAAATCCCATAAATACCCCTGATCAAGGCATTGTGGGCTTTTTGGAGACGATGTCGTGTACGGAGAGGAATAGATTTTGATATATGGGTAGGCCCATTACTATGCTTTTAATTTGGACTGGCCTTTGGGTTTTATGAACAGCCTCATTCTTCTCTGCATGTTAGCCATAAGGCCCCCAACAATTAAAAAATGTAGGTCGGAATTGGTGAGAATGTGAAGGACCTTTTTTCGGAATAAAGACAATTCAATTTGAATTCAAACTTTTTTTCTTTTTAATTTGAATTCAAACTAACAGTGCCTTCAACAAAGAAATTGTGAACGGCCCTGACCAGGGTAGGTCATTGGTTTTTATATGAGTTGGATTAGATTTGATATTGATAATATCAAAAATCAAAAAGAAAAATATTACGTAACCTAAGTTTGAATTCCAAATGAACTAGGATTATTGGATGAGTGTGTCTTATCAATTTTTTAAAATAAGATCCACTAATCCAATGATACTTCTTAATTTGAAATTCTAAATTTGAATCGCATAGTATTGCTCAATCAAAAATTGTGATCAACTGGTTTGGGGTTGTTCTACCTTAAGCAAGGTCTTTAGTTAGAGACTTGGGAATACAGCTGCATTAAATAATCTGTAAGGAGAGCTTTGCCACCCTTGTGGTCCTGTTAGGTTCGAATTCAGATTAGCCCGAGCTCGTTGTGTCTACTGGACATCGAATGGTTTACACCAAAAAAAAATTATCAAAAATCGTCATATTTGATGTAATAAGTTCAAAAATCAAAGTTAGTAGTTTGTTTGTTGCGACAGATCTAACGTTTGGCCTGTTATGGTTTTTTTTTTCTTAAATCAGGTCAACTTATATGTATTTCGATTAATTTTTTTTTATTTTGATAAAAAATAGACCATTCATATGGCAATAATTTTTTTATAACTTCATTCTAATAAATTATTAAGACTAAAATTCAAAATATCTATATTTGTGACTCATCTATCCTACTACGTGATATATAAAATTGGCTTGTTACCGTCTTTTGTGGGTGAGTGTTGGACGCTTCAAACTACGTCCCGAGCCCCTAGACAACACAAAAGACGGAGATCCTACGCATGGGCGGCCCAACATATTTGGGGGCTCTAGGCAAAAATTTTAAATTATGTCCCATTAATATATTTTACAATAATATAAATAATTGTTAAAAATTAAATTATTATTATAATTTTTTTTTTTGAGATTCAAAAATATTAATTGAAATTTTAAATTTAAGTTTTATACATTAAAATTCAATTGGTAAAAGTCGAACCCTTGACCAAATATAATTAAATTAATTTTATATTAAAGATAATAAGAAAAAAAATGAAAATTTAAACTAACAAACAATATATTTTTTTTCAGAACAAATGTAAAAGTTAAAATTTGTATACGTTAAATGATATTAAAATATGTGAAAGATGTTTTAATATTGCAGAGAACTATCGAAATGGTTTAACTAAANATGGTTTACACCAAAAAAAAATTATCAAAAATCGTCATATTTGATGTAATAAGTTCAAAAATCAAAGTTAGTAGTTTGTTTGTTGCGACAGATCTAACGTTTGGCCTGTTATGGTTTTTTTTTTCTTAAATCAGGTCAACTTATATGTATTTCGATTAATTTTTTTTTATTTTGATAAAAAATAGACCATTCATATGGCAATAATTTTTTTATAACTTCATTCTAATAAATTATTAAGACTAAAATTCAAAATATCTATATTTGTGACTCATCTATCCTACTACGTGATATATAAAATTGGCTTGTTACCGTCTTTTGTGGGTGAGTGTTGGACGCTTCAAACTACGTCCCGAGCCCCTAGACAACACAAAAGACGGAGATCCTACGCATGGGCGGCCCAACATATTTGGGGGCTCTAGGCAAAAATTTTAAATTATGTCCCATTAATATATTTTACAATAATATAAATAATTGTTAAAAATTAAATTATTATTATAATTTTTTTTTTTGAGATTCAAAAATATTAATTGAAATTTTAAATTTAAGTTTTATACATTAAAATTCAATTGGTAAAAGTCGAACCCTTGACCAAATATAATTAAATTAATTTTATATTAAAGATAATAAGAAAAAAAATGAAAATTTAAACTAACAAACAATATATTTTTTTTCAGAACAAATGTAAAAGTTAAAATTTGTATACGTTAAATGATATTAAAATATGTGAAAGATGTTTTAATATTGCAGAGAACTATCGAAATGGTTTAACTAAAAAATTTTAGTAAGACAATTATGGTTACAATTAGTTTCAAATAGTGAGATACTTCTACTCACTCTATTTTATAGTCATTTTTATACATTTTAAAAAAATAATTAAGTAAAAATCTATCATAAATTTAAAGTAACTTCAATTTTAATCTAAAAAAATATAAAATTATAATTTATAACTATTACTTGATAGATAATGAATTATACATTTTTTTTTATAATAAGATAGTAAAATATTTTTATTAGGCGATAACATATTTTTCATGTACCATAAAATATTGGACAAAGATAAAACACATAAGCTCAAACTTTAAGACTCTAAATATTTTTATAATAAATTCTAAAAATTTTATAATACGATTACTTGTATTTAATCTAGGGACCTAATTTTGACACTTAATAAATTATGATTATTTAATTTTTAGTAAACTTATTCAATGATATTTTTTTTTACTAATTTAATGATAAAAATGTTTCAAGTTCTCGAATCAAACCTAAAAATTAAGTCTAATAAAATCGTATAAAAATTTAATTTTGAGCCCCAAAATTTTTGTCTCATTTGGGGCCTAGGCAATGCATTAATGGCCTAGTGCATGGGCGGCATTGATCCTATGTCTGCCTTGACTAAAGATTACAAATGTATTTTGTAAATCATTTTTTTGATTTTATTATTTTTTAACTCTATAATTGCTTGAGATTGACGAAGGTAACATAAATTTGTCTCGTGCTTAAATAATGTCATATCAGATATTATTTTATTTATTTTCAAACCTGTTTATAATTATTAATTGTATCTTTAATTGTCCTGTCTAACCAAGCACATCATACTGCCTAACTTGGTGGCTATTCAAGGATGTTTTTATAGAACGAAAGACAAAATCAAATTTGATCCAAACACATACAAAGTCTTCCATATTCTTATGCCTCCTTGACAAATCACACCCACCAACCCCCACATTCACAAACCATCATTCGAAATGATAATTGAGCTGAATTTTATCGACTTAAATCGAATTTGTCGAGGATATGCCTAAAATATTATTTAAACTTCACTCATTTAAAAAATTGGTCGAGTTCAATACGAACCTGAGTAACTCGAGTATTTTACATATAAACAACCTGAGTCTTTTAAGAACAAACTTAAATAATTGTTCAAATTCGATTAATTTAAACTTATACGAATTAAATCTGAATCAAATTCGAGTAATTCGACTTGATTTATCAGCCCTACGTCCACCCACCCAACCCAACCACCTCCTAGGCCACCAAAACCACAAATACACCAGCAGGTCAAACATAGATTTATGTATTTTTAATTCTATGAATTCATGGTGTTTGATTGTGTAGAAGGGGTAAGGTTGGTGGCAACGAGTAGACTTGTCAACGAATCGGGATTGAATTAAATTATAGTCGATCTGAATTTGATTAAAAAGTTTTGATCCGTATCTAATTTTGTTATTTAACAAATTTTATTTTCGTGGCTAATATTCAAATTCGTTAAGATTCAAATAATCGACCTGCATCAAATTACATCTAAATCTCAATACAACTTCATCAAATAATTTCTTTTTTTTTTTTCATAAATTTATACAAAACATAAATTTATAATTTACTAAATTATAATTGGATCCAATATTAATTTAAGGAATCCAAGTTCAAATCTGAATTATAGGTATTTATTGCACTAGTAGAAAGGTGTACCAGAAAGGGATTGCACAAGTAGAAAGGTGTACTGGAAAGTGAAAGTAAACAGCTCACATTGTAAATTTCACGTGGCGATTATTACTTTCACAGAAAAACATAAAAGTTCATATGACGTGAGAGGTGATGACAATCTGTTTGGTAGTAGGAGTGCAATCATATATTTTGCTCAATACCCATAGTACCCCTGATATACTAAAATTTTATTTGTTCTTTTAAATATCTAAAATCATTTCAAATATTTCACTTGTAATTGAAATTTAAAAATAGAAAGAAATTTCAAAAACATTACTGTTTTTTATATAAATAATTTACAATTATTAATTGAACAAATGATGAAGTAATAAATTATTAGGAAAAGTTTAGAGACCGTGATTAATCTCTGATAATTTAGATATTTCAGATTCAATATTTTTCATATCGTCTAAAGATTAGTCACCCTTATTTTTCATGACACATGTTTTAAACTCATTCAAATTATGGTGACTAATATCAGAGTTTAAAGGAGTAATCGACAAAAGTTTAAACATATTATAACAAAAAAAAATGATGAAGTAATAAAGAATAATAGAATAAATAATTTTACATACATGAGACATTTTTACTTGAGGGAGAATAAAAGTAAAGCATTAAAAAATGAGTGGGGTCCCACATTAGAACTACAAAACTTTCTTACTTACTAAAGACAAAATGCACTAATAATAGCATTGATTGGGATCATTATCCGTAATCACCCTTTTGATGTAGTCGATGTCCCAATCAGATGGATGCTGCGGTTGGTATAATTGTCCATGGCAAGTTAATAACCATCCATTTTCGTGCTTGTGGACCCACTTGCTCCTTTTTTTTTGTTTTTTCAGATGAGGACCCACCTTCTTTCGGCGTCATGAACCGGACAATCCTTGTTCATTGATGCACAAAATCTATTGGAAAAGGTGTATTGTCGTTTTCA